CCAATACCTTCTCAGCTTCGCATCGAAGCTAAAAAACACATCATAGTAAAATACCTTCTCCGCTTCGCATCGAAGCTAAAAAAAAAAAAAAAATCTTAGTAAAACCAATACCTTTTCAGCTTCGCATCGAAGCTAAAATGTGTATACGTAATTCCTTCTAGTAATTAAACACTATGTATACATTTGTATCGAATCGTTTTATATTATTGTGATTTTAATCACTGTCATTTTAATTACTTGTCACAACTATACCATGTTTCGTGTTTTTTTTAAAGACCTAAATATAATTATTACCTATATAAAAAATTAATATTAATATTAATTACTTCCAAAATACTAGATCAAATTTTGTTATGATCAGTCGTTTCTTTAAATAGGATACTATCTAAATAAGGAAGTTAACTTTTTTTTTATACATAAATTAATACTTACAATTTTGATAATAAAGCTAATTAACTATGTATTTTCCCACTAAACAAATTAAATTGATACTCTTATAATGCAAGGTATAGACCTAAAAAAAATTCAAGTACATAGAAGTAGTTGATTTGTATTAAATCAAAAAATAAATAAGCCAAAAATACTTTTTAAAATTATTATTTTAGGAGAAATCTAGTGGCCAATGAAAATCAATCACAGTATTTTCCAATTTTTATTCACATGTTATACATGATTCGTTTTCTTTTTAATATCATTAATATTTTAATTAATTATTTTAAATAATAACACCATTGAAAAATGTAACTTCTTATTTTTATTATAAACAATCATAATAGATATGAATTTAATGAAAAGCGCACCACGTGTTATCAATTCTATCAATAAAGTAAATTTAACTGAATTTATTCCTATATATACTCATAATTTGGCTAGTGTCTTTAATTAAGTACTCTATAATTGTAAAAAAATTTTCATGCAAAAGTCTTGATTACAATAATGATTGGCTTAATATAAACAAAACCTTTTTAACAAAAGGCTAACTTCATTTTATAATTTTATCTATTATCACTTCTTTGTTTTGTTTTATAGAGTTTTACCGTCAGATTTGTTAATTATACTACACATTAGTTACTACGTACGTTGCTTAACAAACACGATGACAACTGCTAGTAGAGTGTCTACAATTAAAAAGAAAAGTGTTAGTGGAAAAGAATTAAACACATCTGATTCGAGTTTTACAAGTTCACCACCCTGGAACAAAAATAAATTACTTTTAAATTCCAGAGCACAGCAATCGACTTTACTTCCTATTAATAGTAAAGATATTCAAGAATTATTCAAATATCAACAATCCTTACAAACATCATTGGCATCAGAGTTACCAAAAAATAATATTTTGTCACCAGAAGTGAGCACCAGACAAACTTCTTTAGAGTCATCATGTATTACTTCGGACCAAACTTCTTCAGACTATACAGCTTCAAATAACCCATATGATAATCCTCTAGTAAAAAAACTCAAAAAAGCAAGTGTTATTCAAAATATCCGAAAATTTACTGAATCTTCGTCGGAATTTTATTCAACTGATTCAGACTCAAATTCATTTTTCCCACTATCTGAATCATCTAACCAAGAATCAGATAACATAAAGGTTCTTAAAATAATAATTTAGTTAATATAAGTCAAATTTTTATTTATCATGTTATATTAGGATGGCTATGGTTGTATTTCTGCAAATGATGACGATAAAATTAAATACCCAACTTATGAACAACGTTTCCACTGGTCAGAAAATATCGATCATCGTTCACCATGGGTTAGACACAGAGCAAAAGAAATTTGGGAAAATGCAAACGAACTTTTTAAATTTTCTGATTTAAATAAAAAGGAAAGTTTGCTTCAAAATATACCATTAGATGAAACAAATATCAATACAGAGTTTAACAATGATATTAATACTTCTATTGATGAAAACGATGAAATAATTTTCAAAATAGCTGAAAAACTTTGTAAGTCATTGCCAGATTACAAATCAACAAGCAATCAATGGTTAAAAAATAATGATTTAAAATGGACTTTGATGTATCAAAAACTTGTTAAGTACGGATTGATTGATAACTGATGAAAATTCACTGAAGATAATAGTTAAAAATAATGTTTAATTTTGTTTATTAACTTTTTGTAGATTACAGTTCAAATTTTAAGTGTAAAAAATTATCTTATCTTAAGTAGAAATCGAGATGATTCAAAAACTCGTTGATATTTTTCGTGTAAAGATACATCATTAAATATTTAATAATGTATCTGCATTATTAAAATTTGGACCGGCGCACTACTGTACGGTAGTTACACTAACTTAGTATAACAAAAAAATTATTAGGATAGCAATATAATATATTATAATAAATAATTTTATCTATATCCTTGTATATTCTCTAAAACATGAACTATTCAATCACCAAAAAAAAAAAAAAAAGCTCTTTAAATATAATAAAATTATCATTAATAATTAGATAACCCGTGGTTACCTGGTATTGAATTTTGTTAGATTTTATTACTTTATGGAACTAAAATAATTATTCGACATTCAAAATAGCAACTTTTTCATGAAAAGTTAAACTTTTCAACTTAAATTTTGAAAATGTTTTGAATACTATTCTTTTAAACATATATTAAATTAAAGCGTATGTTACAAACTTAAGTTAAAAAAAAAATTTCTCAAGTCGAGATTCGCAATGAATCAATTGTCTTCTATATTTAAAGTTTAAATATAGAAGACAATTTATAGGATCGTTTAAATTTTAAACGATCCTCAAAGTTAAAGAAATATTATTTGTTAGACAAAAAAAACCGTTTTTCATCTTATAATTCCCTGCTTCAATTTCTTTTCAATTATAATGCCTTTTCACTAGGTTAATCACTATAAACATTGTAGTAAATATATGAGGAAGTATTGAATTACATCGATTTTAGTATAATATAAGTTTTACATAGTAGTAAGCAATTTTTAAACTCCTAAGCAATAAAATAATTCAATATAAGCGGGAAATGCAGGGTAAGCAAATTAATAATGGTGGGAAAAAGAATATAAAAGGGAAACATGAAGAGTATAGGGGGTCGACACGGGACGATACTGAGCGAGACGAGACTGGACGTTTTTGTCGAAGAAACGTCGAGTTGCGGGTTAGGTTGTTGACGTAAGAATAACTATATACTTTTTGTAAGATTTAATTAATTTTTGTGTTATATTATATTTGACTTTTGTGTTTAATACTTTTCGTAAATAAAATAGCTATTTAAAAATCTTGACTTAGCGCAATATTTTATTTTCACGGTGATATCGAAAATTGTGTGTGTGTGTGTGTGTGTGCGGCTAGAGTCTAGGTTGGACTGCTGGTCCTATAGTCAATCTTAATAATTAGTGTACGAGCTGGCTAGTGTTTGGGCTTAACCGTCCTTTAGTGGGTATAGTAAAAAGGTAGTTGTGCTGGTGGCTGACAAGGAGCCACCCTTCAGTCTGCTACTTTTGAGCTAGACCGTGCTGACGGGTCTAAACTCTACCCCTTTAGTGGTCCACTAATTAGAGAGATTGGGGCTGATCAGTTTATCCAACGGGAGGACTCGGGAAGAGCTCGAACGGCGAACTCATCGTCAATATATATATACATAAAACTTTAGTAAACCTTTGTGTCTACGTTGGGGTACTACCGACGTACGACAACATTTAATAAAGTAGTCCATATACTATGGGCGCTATCAAGACAAATAATGACGCCATTCATTTTTGTCATTATTGTAGCTAAAATATTTTTTTGGAAAAAACAGTACCCTTCATTTTAACATACTGGATTGACATTATAAGTTACAAAAATCTTCCCTAAAAAAATATTTTTAACAAACATTAAAATTAAAAAAAAAAAAAAGTTCATCACACGTGGTTAATATTATTTAAAATTAAAATTATATTATAAACAATAATTTAAAACTAAATAATATTAAAAATGCTTAACTCAAAAAACCATAAAAACTACTAAAAAATTGTGTATACGTAATTACTTCTAGTAATTAAACATTATCTATACATTTGTATCGAATCGTTTTATATGATTGTGATTTTTATCACTGTCAGATATCTTTACTTGTCACAAATATACCACGTTTTGGGTTTTTTTAAAATGATCTAAATATAATTATTACCTATATAAAAAATTAATATTAATATTAATAACCTCCGAAATACCAGATAAAATTTTGTTATGATTAATCTGTCGTTTTCTTAAATAGACTATTATTTAAATAAGAAAGTTAGCTTTTTTTTTGATAAATTAATAATTACAATTTTGATAATAAAGCTAATTAACTATGTATTTCCCTACTAATCAAATTAATGAGATACCGTTATAAAAGAAAGGGCAAGATATAGATCTAAAAAATATTCAAGTACATAGAAGTAGTTGATTTGTATTAAATCAAAAAATAAATACTATTTAAATAAGCCATAAAAATGCTTAAAATTATTTTAGAAGATTAGTAGTTGTCAATGATAAATCAATCACTCCGTAAAGAGGAATTGTCTCTCCCTAACATTAATTAGTCATTAGTAGTCGGCATTTTAGTCTATATTGTGGACATTTTTACTCACTATGGTACTTTAGACGTACAATTTACTCCACGCCTCCTAAAAATAAACTCTTGTATCGCCCTTGAAGGCTATTACCTCAACAAGTTAAACTGAGGAAATGACCTTGTCAGTAATAAAAGAGTTTTTAGCTTCGATGCGAAGCTGAGAAGGTATTAATTTTACTATGATGTGTTTTTTTTTTTTTTTTTTTTTTTTTTTTTTT